TGTTCTTAACGAACCAGAGTTACAGCACTAAAAGTTCACTAAACATAATCCGTTTCTAAGATCCATGTGTTTAAATGTTCAATTAACATAATCCGTTTCTAAGAACCATGTGTTTAAATGTTCAATTAACATAATCCGTTTCTAAGATCCATGTGTTTAAATGTTCAATTAACATAATCCGTTTCGAAGATCCATGTGTTTAAATGTAAAATTAAAAGAATCCTTTTCTAAGATCCATGTGTTTAAATGGTAACATAAGCAGTTACTTTTTTTTATAGACCTCATCTTTAACAATTCTTTACAAGATGTTGTGCCACTTAAACTATTGACATCATAAAACAATCACCTTTGTTTTGTGGAGTCCAACATTGTTTTAACAAATTTTTTCTTCTGATGTCAAAATTTTAAAGGAACGTCATATATGTTCAGTAGTTGCTGACAAATAGCGATAAGTAGTTTCTAATTGTTTACATCCTATGGATAAGCCTGTGTCATGACTCGGTTTTCACTTTAATCCCTCTTATCTACAATGGATAAAAAAATTAATAAGTTACAGTAAATCCACCATCACTGTTCATATCTACAATGGATAATAAAGATAAATAAGTTACAGTAAAATCAAAATCACTGTTCTTATCTACAATGGTTAATAAAGATAAATAAGTTACAGTAAAATCAAAATCACTGTTCTTATCTACAATGGATAATAAAGATAAATAAGTTACAGTAAAATCACAATCACTGTTCTTATCTACAATTGATAATAAAGATAAATAAGTTACAGTAAAATCACAATCACTGTTAGCAGTATTTCATTTGTCTACATGGTCTATGTTATTATTTTTAATTTTGAACATATAATATTTCATGAAACTTAAAAACTATGAAATTTAGGTGTCAGAAATATTTTTTATTTACAATCTACCAAAATTGTATAAAAAATTTCACTAAGGTTAAAAGTAAACTTGAGACCATTTTAAGGGCTGTTCGTAAAACAACATACATGTGACCAAGGGAAATAATACACTTTTAAATCTCAATTTTTGGTGGGTGTTAAATACTTTTATGTACAGTAAAGATGAAAGAAGGATTGTAAATTTCCCCCAAAGATTGTAAACTCATTTTCAAAGTGCCTTCCCTGAGTACTATATATGTTTTAATGGAACAGTCCTAAAACAATAGGGAAAAAGTCAAAAGTATACTTATCAAATCACAAAAACATAGTTTAAAACTTTGACAAGATTTCACACTAATTAATATATGCCTTTACTAAATGTATTGATTTAAATTATATAACCTATAGATTTAAGTATCATAATATCTTACAATAAATATATTGGTATAACTTTAGTACAATTCTATTTTTTTATAAAATATATCCATATAATTGTACAACATTCTAACATGAATGAAATAAAAGGCATTCAGCGGATGTACAAAATAACATATCACTACTTATGAGTTTCAATGTCCCTTTGAATTTTCTTTTTTGAGTTTTCCTCGGAGTTCAGTATTTTTGTGATTTTACTTTTTGGTATTGTTTGCCTCTATTTTCTTCTCATGTTTCAGTAATGATATACAGAATCCTTCAAAGATATGTCTGTCAGCGAGGGTTCCCCTGACCATGACCTCATTTTAATGATTTAGTCTTTATGAAAAGTTCTGTTACCAGATCCTCTATGTAATAGGTTACTAGTAACTAAATTTGGTGTATCGATAGTTTATAAAGTGCACAAGTCCGTCCGACATAGTTAACCGGACATATCCCTCGGTGTATTGAAAATTTGAAAATGCCTGTACCAAGTCAGGAATATGACAGTTGTTGTCCATTCGTTTGATGTGTTTTGTCATTTGATTTTGCCATGTGATTAGGGACTTTCCGATTGAATTTTCCTCGGAGTTCAGTATTTTTGTGATTTTACTTTTTTTTTTGTTCAACATAAAGTAAGGCCCATTTCTCAGATACTATAACTATGTTCGTGTTGCTCAGTCTTTAGTTTTCTATGTTGTGTTTTATGTACGATTGTTTGTCTGTTTGTCTGTTGGTCTTTTTTTTTTTTATCTATGGCATTGTCAGTTGCGACTTATGAGTTTGATTGTCCCTCTTTCGCCTCTCTTTAACAATTTTACAATATTTGGTGTACTAGTATGCAGCTATCGTAAGGTATGGCCGACTACGTACTGACGAAGTAGGAAAATACCATTAAACAAAACAGAGATAGAATAAGAATGGAATCTTGAGACAAATTATAAACCTGATGTGAACAAACCATGTCTCAAAAAGTACTAATATTAAAACAATGGTATCTTTGAAAAATCATACGAGTAACATAGATCGTTTCAGACAATTCTTCATTTTCAACCATAACACATCAGAGCTAGAGCAACAGGAGACGATTGATCAATAAGTGTTTAAATATTGTCAGAACCATTATCGACCAACAGTCACACTCAAGCCTTCTTCCTTCGCAATTCGTCGAAGTTATTTAAATGTTTTCGTCACTTAGAGCTTACCCCGATCACGATGCCAACGCCATTCTGATTGTTGGTACGCTTACCAGGTCTCTCTCTAGCGGTCATTGTTCGTGTTTACGCGAATGATTAGTTACTTGACATGAATTATCATACATATATGGTCATAATAATAAATAAACTGTTTAAAAAGTTTGAATTTTTTAAATACTAAGACTTTTCTAACTCAGGAATAGATTACCTTAGCTGTATTTGGCAAAACATTTAGGAATTTTTGGTCCTCAATGCTCTTCAACTTCATACTTTATTTGGCCTTTTTGATTTTTTTTTATTCGAGCGTCACTGATTAGTCTTTTGCAGACGAAACGCTCGTCTGGCGCTAATGCAAAATTTCAAACCTTGAATCTATGATGAGTTTATTTCCATACCGCAAGATAATCATCAGCGGCTGCGGGCGATTATAACGTATCATTGGACCTTCCATACTTACTTCGTTCCTGTACACCTCAAAAGTCATTTTATTCATGTTTGGCTCAGTTTTAAGTCTGAAATGTATAAACCAAATCATTCTTATACAAAATGTAATATGAAAACAGGTTATATATAAACACATTCGGCAAATAAAATATTTCTAGTTAAAAACTAAATAGCAGTTGTTCAGATAAAGAATAAACAAATATTGACTAGTGTTCAACACCCTCTGATTCTTGATCTGTGAATTAATAAGTTCAAAGACTCCAAGGAGGCTATTACAACCCAAAAAGTAAAAGAAAGACTGGCAAAAAGGCCAAACAAAAAACAAATCAAAAACAACATAAAAGTCCTCAATTCACTCACAGAAAATAATGAGATTGAGCAATAAAACCCAGCAAAAATGGTTATAAACTAACACGTCTACGTCTAACACCAATTGTCACGGATAGACGAGTGCTGTCTTAGAAGGAGTCTGTACTTACAAAATAATGACGAATAATTTAAACAACTACAATTTGATCTAGTACAAATTTACAAATTATATAATTCTGAAATGTTCAAATTAAACTATCCATTCTTTTGCACTATTAAACGTTGAACTGCTGTAGAAAATATACTTCCGGTAATCAAAACTGAGGAAACATAACGTGTAGTTTACGGCTGCCCTATTGACGTCTCATACGGTTTACGTTGTCATACAGTAATGTTGTTTTATACCATACTGTTTAATACGTTTACCAGCTGGTTATTTATCTCCTTACTCCCTACTACAAACTACATACTACTCAGCCCTCTGACAGGGACCTATCGAAATAAATACTATACGTTATAATAAGACAGATACATACGCTTATGTATTACACATGTCGTATGAATAATTATAAACTAAGATGCCCCGAAAAGGTCATCGTTTTGCTCCTCTAGTGGCACCCGTTATGGTACTCCAGTTGAGGCATAAATCCATAGCGGACAGGCAAATTTAGTTATTCTACTGCAAAGACATTACCATATTTATAAACCATCGGCACACCAAAATTCTCTAATCCTTAAACATGAATGATACATATCTGCACCAAGAGCGCATGGTATAGCCGTCTTGTGCATGGGACCAAAGCCAATAACAAATAAAACATCATGTTACCAATCAGTTCACATCCAACATCCAATCGATTTTATGTTTGCTTTTTGAATCAGCTCTATTCTACAAGATATCATCAATAAGGGAAATAACTCCTAATTGATCAAATTGAGTTTATCCCAATGATTAACTTGATATATAACCGGCAGTAAAACCCATGCCACAGTAGGGCGTCCGTTTTGCTGTGTGGGATGTATACATTTGTAGTCACGTATGGTCAGAGTTTTGGCGTTAAATCATATGCATCATGTAGAGAGATAGAACCACGCTCAATGTATTCTAAAGAACCCTTAAAAACACTCGTTTATTGGTCCGTAGGTATCCTTTCGATAGTCTTAATTTCTGTTCTTATATACATTGCCCTTTTTCTATTGGCCATCGCGATCGAACCTCTAATACACGACCTACGTATAAGGGTATGGATGGGGTTTATGGACTAGAAAATAATGGGCAAAATGTGCAGACTAAAGGACCCAGAAAATAAAGAAAAGAGTTAAATAGGCAAAAAAAAAAAGAAAAAAAAAGAGAATAATGAGGGGCTGAAATTTAAAGAATAGAGAAACACGACCTAAAAAAATAAAGAATCCCCAATCCACCCACTCACGTGTTGTCTTAACTACTAATTTGTTTTCGTCCTGAACATGCATAAAACATTGTCACTGGACGTAAAGTAACATAAAATCGATCAATCAATCAATCTACAAATGTAATTGAGTTGGGACATTAAATCCCGTCATCTTGTTAGTCAGGTATCTTTAAGAAATCATGAATGTATCAAATATATATTCAAGAAATCAAACGTTTTGGGCAATGTTCTACTGTGATAAATTAAGAAATTTTCTTTTTCATCAAGCTTGATTTTTAAGTTAAAATCAACATAATTTTAGAATGTTAATAGTAAACGTAGAAACTATATCAGGAGATATCAGGACAATATGTACCATGATAATTATGGTCACGTGTTAAGCAAACTATATATATCCGATCATAATTATAACTGATCTTTGGACAAGGAAGTTTGTAAGTAACAACAGAATGGCAATGTCGGTGGCGGTGACAGACGCTTTTAATGATCTGCTAACTTGTACAATCTGTTTGGAGACATTCAAAGAACCTAAGTATCTGCCGTGTCTGCATACGTTTTGTAAGTCGTGTATTAATACATATATTGTATCAACCGTGAAAGGGAATAATCCTAATGGATTCAATTGTCCCGTAATTCGTCGATCTATGCCAGTGAATGAAAATGATGAGAAGCCTGACACTTGGGCAAATATTTTACCCGGGAACCATTTTATTCTATCACTTATTGATAGAAAGGCAATCCAAAAGTCGGAAAAACTTTGCGATACTTGTAAAAAAGAGAATATTTCTCAGAAGGCAGACTCATTCTCCACTGTTTGTGAAGAATCATGTCAAAGATGTCATAAGCTGTATAAAATAACAAGAACTCACAAAATACTTCCCATCACAGATATTATGGCAGACACTGCCGTTTCCGGTCTATTTGCGCATGTCACATGTAAAGAACACCCTGATAAGACGATAGAGGTGTATTGTCAGGATCATTCAAAACCTTGTTGTACAGTTTGCGCCACTGTCCACCACAGAAAATGTGGACAAGTTGTCACTATCGATAAAGCGGTGATTGGGATAAAAGAATCCGACAAAGCACAAAACCTTATAACAAAGTTAACAGAAACAAGTAACACAAAATAGTTCCCATCAACGATATTAAGGCAGACACTGCCGTTTCCGGTCTATTTGCGCATGTCACTTGTAAAGAACATCCCGACAAGACGATAGAGGTGTACTGTCAGGATCATTCCAAACCTTGTTGTACAGTTTGCGCAACTGTCCACCACAGAAAATGTGAACAAGTTGTCACTATCGATAAAGCGGTGATTGGGATAAAAGAATCCGATAAAGCAACAAACTTGATGACAAAGTTAACAGAAACAAGTGACACATTAGAATATGTTCTACAGAACCGAAATACCAATAAAGAAAACTTTAAAAATGGCATAGAAACCGTTCTAGAAGAAATCCCGAAATTGCGAGAAAAAGTTTGTAATCATTTAAATGAACTGGAGAAAAAACTTCGGGACGAGGCCAACAGTAGCAGGAAAGAAAAGATAAATAAGCTTGATGACGAAACAACAGATTTGTCCAGCCTAAAAAATACAGTTGATAACTGGAAGAATATATTCGAAGCTTGTATATCTCAAGGATCAGAAATACAATGCCTGGTCAAGATGGACGAGATTCTAAACAATCTTCCTCAAACTGAAAATGACATTTATCAACTTCTTCGTGAAATAAGGATTATATCCGTAAAGTTTGAACATAAAGATATCATTTCAGAAATTCATTCTCTCGGTAGTTTGATTTTTGATGAGCACCTGCCTTCTATTCCCGGAGTGAAGATAGCAAATTACCATACTGGGAAAATCAAAATAGTGTTCACAATTGATGTTACAACAGCTGCTGTTAGTGGGATATTCTTTAATAATGATATCATTTTGACCCACTATAGTCAATATAAGATCGTGTACTACGACAACAAAGGACAAGAACAAGAACAGTTAAATATTCCTAACCTTGTAACAGATATAGCGAAAGTGAATGATCAAACAGTCGCTGTGTCTTCAAATGAACAGAAGATTTTGGTTATTAACGTTAAACCGCTGACTATACTAAAGACATTAAATATCAGCAATCCTGTTTGGGGTATTTCGTTCTGTGAAAACGAATTTATTACTGCTAATGGCAAAAAAATATCTTGGTTAAACACTGAAAATGGTACAGTAGTTAGAAGTCAACCAACAACAGCAGACATAAGACATGTTTATTGCTACAAGAAAAATGAGTTCATCTACTGGGATAGTGGAAATTCTATTAAAAGAGAGAGCAATGATGGAAAAAGCTTTACGTACAACCACAGTCTGTTACAACGCCCCTTCTCCCAAGACGTCGATAGCGACGGAAACATTTATACAACCGGATATGATTCCAACAACATTCATCAGTTGACATCTACTGGAAAACTCATACGAATCATTCCTATATCAGATATAGGCAATACCATCACAGCTGCACCATGGGTAATACGGTTCCAGTCAAACAGTAACAGATTTATACTAACCTTTAATGGTGGTGCTAGTAAAGTCCTTGTGTGTGAAATTGATTAAATTCACTTAGAATAACAATTATTAAAAGCTGACATGCGATGGGGACAGTGTTTACCTGCAAGGAGTATGAGACCATTTCTTGCAGATATCGAAAAATGGCATAACAGATATAGTTAGTACTTAACTTTCCCGAACATTGATGACGTTTGTTTTGTGATGACAATATTTGACATTTCGTTATATTTAATAAAATTGAGAATGGAAATGGGGATTTTAACTCTCTTTATCTTTTGGAGAGAACGTGTGAAGGATAAAACAATATAGTAATTGATAGTTGTATTTTGTGTTGACTCTAAATATCTTAATTATAAGTTTAAATCCAGGTTTAATCCATCATTTTATTCATTCGTTTGATGTGTTTGAGCGTTTCATTTGCCATTTGATTGCGGACTTTCCATTTTGAATTTTCCTCGAAGTTCGGTGTTTGGGTTATTTTACTTTTTATATGAAATTTATTTGAATATGTTTCAAAAAATATAATTGGAAATTGCTTTGATTCTTTTTTTTCAAAATTTATTTTTTCCCCGATGGATAGCCAGATCGTGTTTATTTTTAGCAACCAGAATAACAAAAGATGTTCCAATCTAGTTACAAAAAGATTCTTTCATTTATAATAAGATTCGCCATTCAATCAAATGCTAAACGGTTTAATAGGAAACATGCAGACTGTACTAAACTAAAAGCGAAAAAGGTCTCACAAATGTCCGAATTCGTATTCAGGAAAAGATTCTAATGTTGAAAACTAATAATCGATCCGCATTAGATTCCGCTAGTTTCAATGTCACGCCTGTGTAGCATAGTAATATCATGAATATTGTTCGATGAAATTTGCTTTTATAAAATTTTGAAATAAATTTAAATTCAGGAATATATCTTCCTCGCTCTAAGCTCTGTGTTTTTATTTGGCTATATCTTAGTTTTTTTTTGTTTTATCCACTCGTCAAAGTTTGTACTAGATTCTTAATTTTCATGTTTTTTTTATCTCGAGCATCACTGTTGAGAAATTACCTGTCTAAATGCCCATCTGGTGCAAGGAAATTGGTACCCTTGATGTTACTGAATGCGAGACCTAGATATGCTAACCTGGAGGTGGCGTCGGCGTAACTTGTTTATAAGACGTTTTATTTTTACAGTTGGTAGAAGAGCTGAACTATTCATATTTTATTTACAGATACCTTATAGACGACTTAGGATATCCTTTGTCCTTGTTTTCAATTTCATTGTTTAGTGACTACCCAAAACAAAATGTATAGGGTGTTATATGTGGAGCAGGATCTGCTAACCCTTCCGAGGCAACTGCTATCACCACATGTTTTTCGCGAGGTTCGTATTGCTCAATCTATAGTTTTCCATGGAGTGTCTTGTGTGCTCTTGTTTGTATTTTCGTTGTTTTTCGTATTTTGCCATGCCATGTATAAGTTCTTTTTTTAATGTCCTGTAACAAGTCAGGAATATGGCATTTGTTATCAAATAGTCCGTTTCTATGTATGTTGTTTTTGTTACAGTTTAGTGTTTCTGTTGTTCCGTTGTTTTCCTCTAATAGTTGATGTGTTTCCCTTTTCTCTCTGTTTTTAGTTTGTAACCCGGATTTGTTTTCCCTTAATCGATGTATGACTTTTGAACAGCTGTATACTACTGTTGCCTTTATTTATTCGACTGACGAGTTTCAATGTCCCGTTGGTATCGCTCGCCTCTTTTTTCTTATCACGTTTCAGTAATGAGTAATGTAACTATATTTGATAAACAGAATCCTTCCAAGATATGTCTGTCAGACAGGGTTCACCTGATTATGATTTACTTTCAATGATTTAGTCTTTATGGAAAGGTCTGTACCAGATCCTCTAAGTAATAGGTAAACTAAATGTGGTGTATCGATGGATTATAAAGTGCACAAGTCCGTCCGACATGGTTAACCGGACATTCCCCTCGGTGTATTGTTCAACATTAGGTTATGCCCATTTCTCAGATACTATAACTATGTTCGTGTTGCTCAGTCTTTAGTTTTCTGTGTTGTGTTTTGTGTACTATTGTTTGTCTGTTGGTCCTTTTCTTTTTTAGCCATGGCATTGTCAGTTTAATTTCGACTTATGAGTTTGAATGTCCCTCTGGTATCTTTTGCCTCTCTTTAACAATTTTACTATATTTGGTGTACTAATGTGCTTTGTCTGTATGACTTTTTGTGCTTTTTTGTTACATAGTTGTTTGTTTTTATAGTGATTAAGATTATAACACAATGTTGACTGCTGTTTCCCTATTTTTGACATTTTTACCTATTATGTCCGTTTGCTTTGTTCACACATCGTTGTCAATATAATTGAATTTGATGCGACTGTCATACAAGTGAGAGGTTTAACTAGCTATAAAACCAGATTTAATCCACCATTTTCTACATGAGAAAATGTCTGTACCAAGTCAGGAATATGAGTTGTTATCCATTGATCGTTTGATGTGTGTTTGAGCTTTTGATTTTGCCATTTGATAAGGGACTATCCGTTTTGAATTTTTCTCGGAGTTCATTATTTTTGTGATTTTACTTTTTAGTATGCAGCTATCGTAAGGTATAGCCAATTACGTACTGACTAAGTAGCAATATACCATTTAGCGAAACAGGGATAGAGATAGAATGGAATCTTGAGACAAATTGAAAAACTGACGTGCACAAACCATGTCTCAAAAAGTACTAATAAATAAATAATGGTATCTTTGAAAAATCATACGAGTAACATAGATCGTTTCAGACAATTCTTCATGGACAACCAAAACACATCAGAGATAGAGCAACAAGAGACCATTAATAAAAAAGTGTTTGAATATTGTCAGAACCATTGTCGACTTACTGTTGGCACACTCAAGCCTTCTTCCTTCGCAATTCGTCGTAGTTATTTAAAGGTTTTTGTCTCTTGGAGCTCACCCTGGTTATGATGCCCTCGTCGTTCTGATTGTTGGTACGTTTACCGTGTCTCCAGCGGTCATTGTTCGTGTTTAAATGGATAATTAGTTACTGCATTATCACAAGATTCGTTCAACATAATCATTGACGGCCGCGGGTGATCATAACGTGTCATTGTACTTTCTTTTTTCAATTTCTCTCCAGATTCCATTCTTACTTCGTTCCTGTTCACCTAAAAAGAACCTTGCTACTGAGTCAGTATGCCTTCGATTACTCTTCCGAATTTCTACGTCTATACAAAAACCATAGTTGATTCATTAGTATTCAATTGCCGTTCTGGCAGAATTCCTATTTTGAAATTATGATGTTACAATGACAGGAACAATGATCATAAGACCGTGGTGCAATATAAAGAATTCATTCAATGCTTCAAATCAAATTCAAAAATTGCAGAATGTTGTGGTGGGATTGTTTTGGGGTTTTTGTGTGCTTTGAAATGGTAATAAAATGCTTCAAACATTTGAATTCTTCTTCTTTACTTTTGGAAAAAAAGATATTTTGAATTACGATATCTTTTCAAAAACAATATCCCTGCAGGTTTCTTGATGTATTACAAAAATTGATAAAGTTGAGGCAGAGTCGTACTATACATGTTTGGCTCAGTTTTTTAAAGTCTGAAATGTGTAAACCAAATCATTCTTAAAATATGAAATCATGCTATATATATATATAAACACATTCGCCAAATAAAAATGTTCTAGTTTAAAAATTATAGCAGTTGTTCAGATAAAGACTAAACAAATATTGACTAGAGTTCAACACCCTCTGATTCTTGGTCTGTGAATTAAGAATTAAGAAGTTCGAAGACTCCAAGGAGGCTATTAAAATCCAAAAGTACAAGAAAGACTGGCAACATGGCCAAACAAATACAACACAAAAGACCTCAAGTCACTTACAGAAAAAATGTGAGCAATAAAACCCAGCAAAAAAAAAACTAAGATTCTCCGAAAGGGGTCAGCGTTTCTGCTCCTCTAGTAGCAACCGTCATGGTACTCCAGTTGAGGCATAAATCAATAGTGGACAGGCAAATGTATTTATTCTACTGCAAATACAATACCATATCTATAAACCATCGGCACACGAAAATTTTCTAATCTTTAAACATGAATGATACACATCTGCACCAAGAGCGCATGGTTCACCCGTCTTGTGCATATTGAAAATATTTATAAGGGATCTAGTCTGGAGTAGGTAAAATGGCGCTATAGAAAAACTAGCACGACGATATACTTCGGTGTATAAATATTGCCTTAAATATGACTGTTACAAGTCCCATAAATCTGAAACCTCGAGCTAGAAAAATTTCAAAATCGAACGTGTTTTCACCAACCACAACTACAGCGTAAAGTGTATAGTAAATTGATTCAATCAAACTAAACCTAGTGTGCGAGATGTAAATAATTGCATTTAATGTGACAGATGACGTCCCATATATATATAACTGTGGAGTGACAAACAGAAATTTTCAAAATTGTAGAGTTTCTTTCATTCACCAATGTCACTAATATATCCAACTATACTCCGTAATTCTTAAATGACAAACCAGAAAATTAAAAAAATCAAAAAGGAGTTTCCTTTTATTAATCCAAACAATAATATATAGTTTTGAAGAAATCAAGCCGATCATACTGGAGTTAGTGCGCGATATATAAACCTGTAATTACAGAACCAAATATTTCCAATTAGTAAGAGAGCTTGCTTCTATCAGGTCAAGTACTCCATATAGTTTCATAGTGTTTGAGCAAAGCATTCTCTAGCTCATGTAAAACATGTGAACGGACGAATTGACGGGCAGACGTACAACGGTATACCATAATACTTCCAATCGATGACCTGCGTATAATAATGAAAATAACACTTATAAATGTTATTGTGTACGAAAAGCTGTTATGAAAGTTAGTCTTAATCTGGAACTGCTGAAAACAACAAAAACCATGCATTTGGATTCAAATGTTTAAAGACGTGGGGAGTTTTTGACCACAAAGGCTAACACTTTACAAAGTGATGCCCCTGCACTCCACTCTGAAGTAAAAGTATCCTAATCAAGTCATTGCGGGACTTTCTTTGAGATATTATTGTATCTGGGAGAAACAAATAATGCCCTGCAGATGCAAAGTGTTATTTTGAAATACACAAAGTTGAGCATGAGAGCACATGTCTATGGTTCGCTGCAGGAGGAGTTATCCAGAAACGATATGCACCTCTTACGCAAGTATATACTAAAACAAATAACAAATTTCAACAATCTCCCAAAA